ACTTGGGGACACAGTGCAAAATGAAAACACAGGGCCCTTTGTTCAAAACTATGAAGAATTTCAAGATGGCGGCAGCAGAGCATTAAGGCAAGCACAGGGCCTCTGTGAGGGTGGCGCCTTATGCGATGACACAGGTTGTCCGCCCCATGAAACCAGCCTCAGGGAGGGGCAATCAGCAGGGTCCACCAAGAAGGCTGATTTGGGCCCACGTGAGGTGTCACCCTAAACCTGGGCCAGTTGTCCATTGCCCACCTGCGCTTCATTTTCCTTCCCATAAAGCCGTTAACCACCTTCTGCTGATGATCTGGGAACTACCGTCTTATAAAAAAAGCTTTGACTTCCACAGAAGACGCACATTAAAACATGTGAACACTTATTACTTGCTGATGATAACTCTGCTTCATAATGGAATAAAAAGTTCACCATTTTTAACCCAGAAGGGCGTTGGGAGTACATAATGCCTCCCCTTTCAGTATGTTATTTGACCTACTAATGTTTTTCATCACTGTAATATGAATGACTGCTGGGAAAAGTATTAGATTAGTGAAAAGCTGTGGGAAACTACCAACGATCAAGATTAAACAATCCCGTTTATTGTGAGTGTGTTGGTCTATGTAGGAGGCAAAGAGAGCAGATTTGGTTTCTGTCCTGAAATCATGTGAAAATTGGAGCATGCAAATCTTTCATTTATATGATCTATTACTATGAGAGCTCTGCTTAAGTTTTAATGATGGAAACTGTGGATGGTTTATTGAGACGGAATGTAATGTCACCCTTAACTGGCCTACAGAACACAATCTAAAGGCCTTAGTGTAGGCTTCTAGAAAAGTACACTGTTTAAATGAGGCAGCTTCCGAGGCAACCAGGCTGAGTTCAAGCCCTGCCTCAGGCTTCCACTGTGTGGTTTTGGGTAAGCTATGTCATCTCTCCAGGATTCCCCCATCTGTAAAATGGGGAACCTCATAGTGCCTCTGTCACAGATGTGTGCAAGGATTTGGGGTGATTACCCATGGAGAGCTCCCCCCAGTATATGGTAAGCCCCCAAAAGATGTTTGCTATCATTACGGCCATGATGGCCGCTGCTGTTGGTTTTGTTGTGTTTGTTCTTGTTGTTATTATTGTTATTATATAATCTGGCCCCTGCCTGCCTCTCAACGTCTATTTCCTGTCAGTTTCTCTCATTCTGTGGAAGCCCCAGCAAAACGAAGCTACGCCTCGCCCCCGTGTGCACTCGAAGATTCTCTGCCTTCTTATCGTTGCTTTGCTGTGCGTAGGCTGAGCAACCACTTGGAGGGGATGTTGTAGAGGCGAATTCAAGCTGCAGAAGGGAACTGGGTTGCATGAGATCCCTGTAAAGTTCCTTCTGGCTCTAAGATTCCGTCGAATCAACAAGGTGGATGGGAGAGTTCGCAGCACAGTGTCCGACATTCTCGAGAGTGTTCTTGACTCTCCTCTGCTCTCCTGGTCCTGTCCCCTCCTTTGGAGCACACAAGCGGGGGGAGCCTTTTGCTCTGCTGTACAACACACAACAGGCACAACGTGGAGCTACCAAGGCTGGGATCCTGGAAAAAGACTACAGTAAGGAAGAGATGGGTCTCCCTGGGAGGACTAGGTAGCTCGACCTGGGTAGACACATCTCGAGCAAGCTGCTCAATTTCTCTGAGCCTCAGTTTCTTCAGCAGTAAAATGGGGATACAAGAACCCACTGCATAGGGTGAGAATTGAATCAGATGCTGGACACAAAGGGCTTTAACAGAGGGTCGACATACAGCTAGTCCATTAAATATCATCTCCCTGTCACCAGGGGGACTCGGGCTATGTCTTCAAGGGGACTGAGATGAACAGATGGAGCTTGTGGGGTCACAGGGGACAGTGGGTTGAGGCCCTGCCACACAGACAAAGGGACCTGGGCCTGAGAAAGCAAAGAGTTGGGAGCCTTGCTTTGTCCTCATTCCTCCTCCTCTGCCCTGGTCAGTGCTCTGAACAAAATGTAATAGGTTAAAAATAATAGGACTATTTGTTATGAACTCAGACTTCAAGGGCTGCTTCCCCAGTTTTGGAAAGAGCTGCACATCTGTCCCCCGCCCACCCTGGAAAGCAACATAAAACACCGTGTGCCCCGACACGGCTTCCCGGGTCCACCCGGCCCAGGCTTGGAGAGGGCCACCTTCCAGGGCAGGGTCTCTTGGCGCAATTTTCACAGGGTCTGTGGGCCCCGAGACGAGGAAGGCAGGGCCGGTGCCAGGAGGGCTGTCTGCTCAGTTTTCACTGGAGAGCCCTGAGCCCCGAGCACACACTGCTGTTCTTTTGTGCCTCCAAGCCTCTGTCTTTTCAATTGAAATCGAGAACTCCTGCGTCCAATGGTCGTTGTGCCCAGCCGGTGCTCTCCCATTTATAAAAGGGAGTTTCCAGGAGGCAGGAATGGCCTGAAACATCAATACCGAGAGGATGGAAGAGGAGAAAGCACTGTAGCTAGAGTCACAGGTGCAGAGTAGGGCAGAGCCAGGTTCTAGGACCTTCCACACTGACGCAAGTCAGCATCAGGCCGTGCCTTAACTGTTTACTGAACAACTACTATGCACCAGGCATTGTGGGAAACAAAGCAGCCTGCCTCACGCTCTTCGGGGTGAGTCTCAGGTGCAGACTCCGGGCCGAGAGCGAAGACTTTTGTGTGCCCCTTAGCATCAATAATACAGACTGGCTACTGGCCGAGTTATCACAGCACTGGCTCTCTAAGCCTCAATTCCCCCATCTGTAAACCCCTCCTCAGTGAAAGGCCGTGGGTATGAAAGGCGCAAACAAACGAAAGCCCGCATGACAATGCCTGACTCTTACAAGGCCTCAGCCACAAGAGTTCCTTTTTATTTGCTGAAAAACTAGCAAAAGATCTCATGAAAATTTCAGTACACTGGGACTTTAGAAGAGAAATAACGAATATGGAAACATCTAAAATTTGCAATGAATTCCAAATACTACACATTTATTATTTTTTTCTCAACCTTCCGTCCTAAGTAAAAATAATAATACAAAGCAAAACAGTAACAACTCTGTCACACACTGTCCAAAGTGTTTCGGCCTCCCAACCCTGTGAGGTCAGGACGGAATGGTCCCATTTCACAGATGAGAAAACTCCGCACAGAAAAATGAATGAACAGGCCAGGGGGACTGTTCCTTGAGTTTTGCATTGGCTTCCATCTGCCTCCCCCGGCCCGTTCCATTCTCTCTAGATCCCTGGCAAGTCGGCAAAGGCAAGCCCAATGTGTAGCCTCTCTAGCCTCTCTGTCCCTTCCTCTCCATCCGTATCTAAACACCGCAGAAGGGAGGCTGCTGGTTACCAAACTGGAAAAAGCTCCTGGCATTTACAGATTTCCGCTCCTCCATGGCCTTTGGAGACCACGCTCCCCGGGGCCTAACCCTTTTGGAGGAAGAGGCCTGGGAAAGAAGCACGGAGCAAGTAGTGGTGTTCCTTTGTCAGCGGGAGACTCGGGAGTAAAGAAGTGATTTTTGACATCGACTCCGGCAGGGTCAGGGGGAGGTGTAACCAGAGGGGTGACATCCTGTGCCTGCACAAGAAAGGTCCAGTGCCCCCATCCCCTGAGCAGAGCAGTGGGTCAGCCACCCAGCCGAGCAGGAACTGGGGAAGCTGACGGTCTCCGGCCCCTGCCCACTCTCCCCCTCTCCCTCCCCACCAAGAAGGAAGTCCAGTGAATGAAGAAATGGGGAAGTCCTAGCTGCGCCTGCAGTGGCTTTTAAGGGTCTCTGTAACAACTGACTTGAATCCCCAGTGAGACAAAAGACTCCCATAATCATGATTAGCAAGAGGTTTCTGGAAACGTTTTCTCAGGATGCAGGGTGCGGGGAGTACTGTGCACACCACTTTACCTCAACTCCATCACAACCTGGCTCTTTTTCCTCTCACATGCCAGTGTGCAGACCCCCACTTCCCCTCTCCCCGCCCTGGCCCCCCGCGTGGTATTTGTAACTAATTTCAGCAGCAAGCTGGGGGGAGGGGGTCACGGTACTCACAGAATCAGGTGCCATTTTGAAAACTGTTCCTCTCTACCTAAATCTCCCATATTTCCGGATGTAACTCAGAAACGCACTTCAAAATGGAATCGTGCTGAAAAGACTCCTTTCAAAACAGAGTTCAATTTTTGCATTTCATCTTCGGATTTTAGAGATCATGGGATTGCAGTCTTTGGCCTTCGACACTGGCCTCCTCGGCAATCGCTTTTATAATTTGGGAAAATAAGGAAGAGGAAAGTAAAAGAACTTCCTCCTTGTCAGGCAGCAAGTCAATAGCAGGGCTTGAACTTGACTTATTTTTCTAAAGGGGAGGTGATGTACTCTGTAAAGTCCAGATAAATTAACCGCCAACCAGCAAATATTACGGTTATTTGATTTGAGTGCTCACAGAAATTATAGCTATGAAAAGGATAGGCATGTTTCAGTGAGAAAACTTCTTTTCTTTAAGCCCTTAAGGGTGCTTCACCTCCCACCCAAGTCTAGGAGAATGCGAGCGAGGAGACAAAGAGGGCCGGGGTGGGGCGAAGGCCCTCCACTGGCCTAAAAAATGAGTCATGAGGACTCGCACCCCTGCAGTGGGCGAGGCCAGCGGGCCGACACCGCACCCTGGCTTGGGGATTCCGCATCGGACAAAGCCAGCTTCGCAGTAAAGAAATGCCTGTCCCCGCTAGGTACCACCCAGACCCTTAGTTATCACACTCCGATCCCCAAGAGCAGGTTTGCGCGGCTGCTGCCAAAATCCATTATGACAGAACAGACAGAAAAGGGGGGAAAGGCATTATGAAGAAAGCGTTGCAGGGTGGGCTTCTGCTCGTCTTATTTTTCGCCATCGTCGCTGTTAGGTGCGTGGGTGGACGCGGGGTGGGGTGTGGGGTGGAGCCCCCCCCCGCCGCCAGGCCGGCCGGGCGCCGTTCCGGAGACGCTGCGCGAAGGGGTTAAGCGGGCGGGCGGGTGACGTCACCTCATTTACATAGAAGCGCGCATATAGCGGCGCCCGCCGCGCCCCGCCCGGCACTCGGCGGCGGCCACTGCGTAGACTGGATTCAGCTCGCTCGCTCCTCGCTCCGGTGAGCCCCGGGGCCCCTTCCTCCTGCCCTCCGCTCCCCTTCCCGCCCTGCGCTCGGCCCCTGGCCTCCCGCATCCCTGAAGCCGAGCCCGACTGGTCCTCCCGGGAAAGGCTGCCCTGGGGAGCTTGGGGATGCCAAACCCTTCTAGAAGCAGGGTAACGGCGTCGGTAACTGGGTGATTTTTGTTTGTTTTAATTAAGAGAACTGGCGTTTTGCTGTGCAGCTTCGAAGGGAACATTTTTTCTTTATTTACTTCCCCTCCAAAGGCATTTATTATTGCCTCTTAGGCGGTGATTAATCAGGAATAGAAAGAGCCTTTGTTCCAACGCACACCCACCCAAGCCCAGAGCTGCACATTTTTCCTCGCCTCCGAGGGCTTCGTGGGCTGTATCTGTCCAGGTTTCAGGCAGCTGGGCTATATTGTGAAACGTTTAAGACGTCCTTCTTGCAGGGCCAGGCGTGCAGAGCTGCCAAATAGCCCCTAAATGCAGAGCAGGATTGATCTAGAGGGTGGGGGAGAAGCTTTGTGTGCGGGTGGCTGCATTGTCGAGAGGGTGAGAGGAAGCGGGTAGGGCGGTGGTCAGTGGCGCCCGGCAGCAGCTGCCGCCTTTGTGACAAGGGAAGGAAGCAGGACGGCCGAAGTCTTTGGGGGAGAGGCTACGGATAGAAAATGGAAACACTTCGTGCAACCTTGGCTCGATTTTAAGAAATTTTACTGGATTTTCTTCCCCTTAAACTTGAAATGGCTTCACTATTCTCTCCTTTTGATACGCTGCAATTAACCCACGATGGTTAATTTCATTGTTCCCAGAGATTCGGCCTCCGAATTTGGTCCCCCGCGTTTTGAAATAATAAAGGGGGAGGTCCCCGCCCCCGAAAGAGGAAGGTCTTTAGCCCCGAATGAAAGCGGAAGGAGGCAAAGCGCGGTTTCAGGGTGCAGATGCAAAGGCAAAAGCGCAGTTCTGAGACCGGAGGGTGGGTGGCTCGCTCTCAACCTCCGTCTTGGCTTTGTACCTGCAGCTTCCTCTGCAACCATGTCTGACAAACCCGATATGGCTGAGATTGAGAAATTCGATAAGTCGAAATTGAAGAAGACAGAAACGCAAGAGAAAAATCCACTGCCTTCCAAAGAAAGTAAGCCCCCCTCCCTTCTTTAGAAAAGGCTGGGCGGGAGTGGCGGGGTGGGTAGGAGAGGATGGGAGGGGCTGGGAGAAGAATTGGGGTGGGGGGTAGGGAGCGCGGGGGAGGAGCTGCCAGTTTTTTGATGAATGTGGCTTGGAAAGGTTAATTTAATAATGTTTTGCACCCAACAAAAATAGGGCTCGAATAATTTAATAGAATGTTTAATATTACCATATTCATGTGCAAATCCTTTTATCTGTTAACGTTCTATTTAATAAATATCTCACGATGGAATGTGCCTATTTATACGTGTAGAATTTTTATGCGAAGGAAGGATATTTTTAAACGGAAGTACAGTAATTCTATAGTAGGCTATACTGAATTCGCATAATAAGCCCCCTCCATCTTCTCTCTTTCTTTTCCGGTCACAGCGATTGAACAGGAGAAGCAAGCAGGCGAGTCGTAATGAGACGTGCGCCGCCAATATGCACTGTACATTCCACAAGCATTGCCTTCTTATTTTACTTCTTTTAGCTGTTTAACTTTGTAAGATGCAAAGAGGTTGGATCAAGTTGAAATGACTGTGCTGCCCCTTTTCACATCAAAAATGGTGAACTACTGACAACGAAGGCCGCGCCTGCCTCTCCCATCTGCCTGTCTGGCAGGCAGGGAAGGAAAAGAACTTGCATGTTGGTGAAGGAGGAAGCTGGGTGGGTCGACAGTGAAATCTAGAGTGAAATGCAAGGTGATCCAAGGTGTCCTGCAGGCTGTAAAATGCAGTTTAATCAGAGTGCCATTTTTTTTTTGGTTCAAATGATTTTAATTATTGGAATGCACAATTTTTTTAATATGCAAATAAAAAGTTTTAAAACCTGGCTGGTGTGACGGTTTGGTCTCTGGAAGGGAGCGCCTTATTCAGATGAAACTTTCGGAAAGCGGCCAAGAGTGGGCTCACTGGGGAGCGATAGATGAAAAAGACATATGGTAATCTGGGTAAATACTCAGACGACATGGAAATGGGTTTCATCCGGGTGTGTGGAATACCTTGCCTGTACTAGGTAATTGGGAGTTCATTGTCTTAGGCCGAATGAATTCCTGGTATCTAGAGTTGAATGAAAACTTCGATAAGAACGTATTTGCAGTTTTTTTCAGGGGTTTGATAGGCCAGCACTGAATTTATTACATTTGATCAAGAAAATGAGGGTGGTGATAATTCACAGCACAGTGTTTCCGTTGTCAAAACAGCCTGGGTTATTTAGCCAACTGCCAGTTGGCAGATGAGGGAAAAACTGCTTTATAAAAGGATTCAAGATGGGCTTCCTTTTCATCTAATGGCTGGTTCCAATTAGAATTCAATATTTAAAATTGTTTTTGTAAAATAAGTGTACTTAGGGTTAATGAATATGACAAAAGTTAATTATCTTGGTTTAGATAATGAAGATCTTTGGATTTAAAGGACACAAGCAGGAGAAAGATGACATTTGTGCTATTTAAACCCAGTAGGATTTAACTGGCTCACCTCCAGGGCTTAAGTTCTTGGTAACTTCCCTGTCCTTTGAAACACCTATTTTCACTGGCAGGTAAAAGCCAAGCCCCTGTTGGTGGGAGTGGGGTGGGTGTATTTAAAATGCAGAAAGGGAAATAAGATACCTGGTTTTAAAATAAAAGGGATGTCTTTTTTTTAGACAAACGTCTTTAATGGATTCCTCTGCTCTTATATAGAAAGGTGCAAGTATTTTTTCAAAAATAAAGGTTTCAATTTATTAAGTGGAAACAGCATCTAAGAATGGTAGTTCAACTAATAGCTCAGCAAAGCTAAGATTTACAATGCAAATATCCAAGACTTCCCCTCACCCCTGCCCCACCAAAACTGACTTGTGAAAATACCCTTTTTGAAGGAGGGGAGGAGGGCAAATTGTCAGTGATTATTAAACCGGTTGATTTCATTTCCTTTGCTCAACCCTTATTTTGAGAAATGCACAGGAAACCATTTACCTGTGGTTTGGACAATCGACCAGACCATCGGCTAGAAGCCTTCATCTGCGTTGCAAAGGAAGGGATGTGCACCCGCGGCTGCAAAACCTGAAGTACCACAGCTTGCTCGATCGAGAAAAAGAGCAGTGAGCACGAAGGTCGGGGAGCCCTCTCAAGACGGAGCCCAGCCCTCCAGCCCTGCATTTTCTCTTCCTGCCTGCAAGGAAGGGTGTAGGCAAAATGAAAATGTCCAAGGCACAAAGATAAAGCAAGCCCTCGTAGGTTTTTGCTGTGTGCATTTTTCAAACACCACAGTGATGAAATCAGATGGTAAGATATTGACACAACTCTCCTGTTTTCTCAGCTTTAAAATTAAAATGAGCATTAAGGGGACATGATTCATGAAGTCAAGTGATGGATGGGAAAGAGGACCTTTCTCTCCTGGGAGGACAAAGCGCAAACGCAGCCGGGGGGTGGGGGTGGCGGGGTGGGGAAATAAAATAAAATGAAAAATCTGGTAAGGACTGAATTTTGGCTGCTTGGGGTGGGGAAATTCAGAAGCTCCTGCACGTATCACACTGTACACTTAACTGCTGTACATGTAGATGGCGGGGTGGGAGAAGTTCTCTGTTTTTGTTGTGTTTTTTGGTTTGGTTTGGTTTGGTTTTGTTTTGGATGAGGGAAGAGAATTCTTTTTTCTTCCCAAGAGAGAATCTTCCCAGAGGGCTGGAGTATTTATGCATCAGTATGGGAATTTATACCCCCGCTGTTCAGGAGCCTGGAGTAGACAGTATTTTTCACAGACACGAAGGGGACCAGAGGGAGGGGAGATCAGCCCAGCTTTTGGGCTGTGTCTTGGAGGATTGTGAATGTGCAGGAGCTGGCGGGAGGCGTGCAAAGTCTTAAATGTGGAGCCCTCTCCCCTGTGCAGGGGCTCTTCCACTCCTGCTAAACTTGGCATCCTCCCCACACCCCTGTGCGTTAGACAGTCTCCTTTGAATGCTCCGGGAAGATTTATTTATTTCCCTAAAGAAATGTCTAACGCCTCAAAACACCAAAATAATTTTCTATTCTTTCTTAACCGTATGGAGCCAATTTTGTGCTTACTAGAAGGAACAGTGCGTTTTAGAAACAACATTATGGCCAAAAAAAAAATAAATAAATAAAAAATCTTGAGCCTCTTTGAGTTCAAAAATGTACATGGAAAACATAGTTTCATAACACTGAGAGCACTTAACACTGGGTTTGCCCCAGAAGCCTTCCCTGGCCTAGCGAGAGAATAAAAAACGTACCCTCTCCAGCCTCCCACCCCAGTTTCTCACTTTTTAGGAGTGGCTTACCCTTTCCAGTCTCAGAGAACTAACCACGCCCATTTGAAATTCAACTGTAACTTATCTGCATTGTAATGAGAAGGGACTAAGTTACGAATTGAAGGCACAGGTGTGCAATGAAGTACGCACAGAAGAAAATATATTTTTAAGACCTAGATTTACTAGGCTTATTTTTTCCTTGGATACTTGGAGAGCTTTTGATCTCTCTAGTCGCATCCTTTTTTTAAATTAATTAACTAATTTTTAAACTTTTTTTATTGAGTTATAGTCATTTTACAATGTCGTGTCAAATTCCAGCGTAGAGCACAATTTTTCAGCTACGCATGAACATACATATATTCATTGTCACATTTTTTTCTCTGTGAGCTACCACAAGATCTTGTATATATTTCCCTGTGCTATACAGTATAATCTTGTTTATCTAGTCTACATTTTGAAATCCCAGTCTGTCCCTTCCCACCCCCATCTAGTCGCATGCTTGTGCCAGTACCAGCCCAACTCTTGGCTTCTAAGACTTGTGGGCGGGGTCCGTGCAGTCTCTGTTCGCATTTGTATATTTTTTCTTCTATGTCCACGAGTGTGCCTCGCATAGTAGTGGACATCTATTAGACCCTCAATAGGCACTTTTCCCCGTCTTAATTGATGGAGACTTCATTTAACGTGCTTTTGAACATACCTTTGAGTATGTGAATGTCATGCTCAATAGAACAATTTAAAATATATATACTGAATATATATATCTTAAGGAGATTTTACAGGGACATTTTCCTCAATACGTGTTGCTAATACCCACCTAAATATAATGAAAGGAAATTCACAGGTAATGTGGGATCTCCGTTTGTGAAATTTAAGAATTATTTTACAAATATATTTAAAGAACTATAAATGCTAATTTGCACTGTCCTTGGTTATGCTGATTTTCAGTCAACACTTCTAGCTGACTACATATTATTAAGGCAGAACACTGGACCGTTCACTGCACCCAAATTTATTGATGCCCGGTACATGCCAGGTACTTTGTTTGCCACAGAGGTACAGTCATAAACAAAATGTAGTCCCTGCCCTTGTATGTCTTCTCTTGGCTAAAGATGCCCTTTGCATCTAAATCTGAGTGGAAAATGCTTCGAAGTCATTCTTTTCTATTTTTAGGGTGAATGGTGAACCTAAGGGCTTTGTAGTTTTAAATGAGTGTTAAGGTCTGTTCTTTGCTTTGAAGTGGACTTTTTCCCATAGGTCTCTGTAATGCTTCCATTCAAATCCCTTTGGAAGCTCATTGGTGAGTGACATTTGATGGAAACCACCAATTCTTTGCATCACAATCAGATCTTTTATCAGCATAAAAAGATTGGGCATAGTAACTCTCGCCTGGTATCTTTTGACAATCCTTCATGAAGAATGCCCAAGATTTAGGAATGGACTGGTTATTATTTTAAAATTTCTCTTTTTTTTTTCTAGGATTTTCTGATTTAGTTCTGAATTTCCAGAGAAACACTTATTGCTCAATCCTTTGCCTTCTTCTGTCAGCCTTCTTCCTCCAATTCAAGTAAGCTTGTCGGGGTCAAAAATGGTCATTCCCATTTTGAAATCCTTCAGAGAACAGAGAAAAAATACAACCACAGGAGGATACCTGTAAGTCTAGCACCTGGCTGGCTGACGGCAGGGTCGCGTCCACAACTTGGAGCCTCAACGGAGAGGGACAAGTTACTTTCATGATCTATTCAAAGCAGTTGGAGCTCTTCCTGTACCATTATTGTCAAACCACAGGAAATTAGGCCTTTCCCCACTACCACACTGAGCTCTGTAAGTGGCTGATACCCTTCAGCTACACAGAGACTTGGTGAGAGTATTTTCCCAATCTAGCAACAAAAATATTTCAGAAGAATATATATATTCAACATGCAGAATCG